TTCCTAGGCCACGCTCCAACTCAATGCCTGAGATTGGCGAGCCACGCTCTCAGGCTCTCAGGTGGCTTTGGCGTTGATCAGCATTGTCCTTTGGCTTTCTTACAAAGACATGTTCCCCCCCCCTTTTTTCAGATTGTACCAAAGAGAAACCAGAAGAAAATAGGACTGAGTGGCGACCAAGCCACGCGGCTGTGAGTAAACTGCAGTCGCATGAAACCCCAAATCTGCAAGTGCGTGTTCAAGCCAACTATGCTTGTCGGTTGGGTGTTACCCATGGTAGAACACGGTGAAAGAGGCAAGAGCCGCCGACTGGAAATGTGGATAGTTTCATTGCACAAGACTCTGCCGTCAAACCAACAAGAGCCGGCTCCAAAGCAAACCTGACCAACGCCAAGCACAGGCGCATACAGGCGCTGTGTTGGGCTCGCAGCAAACGCTGATCCATGAGTGGAAAGGGCCCACTGAAGGGAGAACGCATGAGTTGGCACTGAGCCTTGGGCATGGCCGACCAAAAACTGAGATGCAATCCTTGCGTTGAGCGGCGCCCACCTCCCACCCTCTCATTGTGAAGCTCATGTGATTCTGAAACGGGGCGGGGGGGGGGGGGGGGCAACTCACCCAAATTCTTTTGTCAGCTGCGGGCACTCTTGATTATGAGTGCGGCAAGATGATTGGAACCCTGGCTTGGAGTTGTTCTACTGGGATCTCATTGGTTCAACCCCTTGGAGTACTCCGCCTTCGGAAAGCGAAAGCAAACCCGAAAGCCTTCTGACGGCCGTTGTATGATAAATCATGGCATGGAACAACTTTCCTGGTTGGCTGGTTCCGCAACGCCGTGGTCCAAATGCTGCACCATGGAAGTTTCTTGAATGGCATCCCGAAGTGCAATTCAAAGTGTGCTGTTGCAAAGATCAAGGATGAGCGCCCATATCTCTTGTGTTTACATCCTCGGAGATGCCCGCTTTGCGGATGCTCCAGCGGGTGCCACCAGATGTTTTACTCTATCCGGGTGGATTCGCAGCTTGGTGTCCAACCGCTTGGGGGCCAGACTTGGTCGTGGGGCACTCTAATGCTTCCTAACACTAAGCCCGTTCTCGCAAGGTTCCCGTCGCCCTGTCCCTGTTTCGATTGGGAGGACAGGCCCTGGGTCTTAGGAATTGCGGCGTAGTGATTGTCATGCACCGCTTGCCTCGCTTAGGTGGGGCAAGCCCTGGAACGAGCAAAGCGGAGAGATGCTCAAGTTGCACCTCGGGAAGAAGTGTCTTCCTTGCTTCTTCTACCACCACAAGGCCCGAAGCCGGGGTTTACGCGATTCATCCCCCTGTCTTTGTGGCTTTTTTCTTTTTGGCCAGAGTCCGTCTTTGGACCTCCGTTTTTGAAGGCATGTCCTTTTGTTGAGCTTTTCTCAGAGGGCCTCCCTTCGAAATGAACTTCTACAGTTTTTCCAATTCCTGGGCGTCTTTTGTTCGAAGAGCTCCCTGAATTCCCATAAAGAACTCCCCTGCGCAATTCTGCTTAAGTGGGAGGCAAAAAGTTCAATTTCACGGAGGTCCTTCCAAGCTGTTTTTTCCTGCGTGAGAGCATTCCCGTATTGGAGGGTCCTTTGTGAGGTTGTCTTGTCGAGGGAAAAGCACAGAAGCACCACGTGTTCGGGCCAAGGGGCCTCGGGTTACAAGGCCTAGGGTTGCAATTGGGGTACCGGTATAGTTGTGTGAACCCACACAGATGGAATCAGAAGTCAGCTGCCCACGCAAAGGCTTAAGCTGTCCCGGTGATACCTGGAGGGGTGAACCGCCCCAACTTGAACGGTCCAGCCAGGACTTGCGCTAGTTCCGTTACTCCATACCATCGCCTATCCCCACCCCCAAACCGATAGGTTTCCTTTCTGCTTCCCCTTCAAACCTTTTAAAAGGCGCCAGAAAACAGCCCCCCCTTTTGCAAACCCTTCCAGGCAGATGGATGCCGCAGGGGCGCAGACTGCGATCGCTGCCACATTTGCACCCTCCCGGAGATGAAGAAGAGGAAGCTTCGCCTTCCGGCAATTGAGCGGTGGAACATATGCGCTTTGGGGCTCCATTTGTGTAGTTGCAAGGGAACCGCCTTTGACGTAATTACTATATGGCATCACGCAAGTTGTTGATGGCCCGCAACCAGTGCTACAGTTTCTGTGGCGAACTCGTCGATTGCAGGGGCAAAACAAACGAAAGCCCAGGATGCGGTTCCTTTGCTCAGAGTTCCGATTCTTGCCTCAAGTTTATTGAATTCTTGAATAGTTTGCGTCGGGTGTTCGGGGCCATGGACATGGGACACATCCCCTGACGAGTCTTTGCAGGTGGTTCAACTACTTGGCGGCAAAAAGGGGTTGCAGCAAACCCTGCATAAACCTTGTTCGTTTTGAAGTTTTAGAAGGAGCTTCCATGTTACGGCAACGAACTGAAAGCTAGCTCTCTGAGACAGATGACAAGATAAGAGCAGGCGCGCAGGCAAAAATCATGCCCGTGAAGTTGGGGTAAAAGCAGTGCTAAAAAAGTGCAACCTTCGCCGCGTTTAAGGTGCTTCCATGTTTAGTCTGATCGCGCCGCCTGGTCGGAGCGCGTTTGGACCACGTTCGCAGCCGGGACTATCGGCACGGACGCGCGCTTGGCCCAAGATTAGTTTGCGTGACAGGCGCAGCACGTTCCGCAAGGTTGGGTGCAGATTTCGTACGCAGATTTCGTGGCAGGCGCAGCGTTTTTGCAAGGTCAGATGCAGATTCCGTGGCATGCACAGCGCTTTCGCCAGGTGAGGTATAGATTTCGCGGCAGGCGCGGCACTTTGGCAAGCTGAGGTGAAGAAAATCGTGGCAGGCGCAGCACTTTCGCAAGATGAGGCCAAGATTGCGCGGCGTCCGCGGCAAGTTCGCAAGGCAAGTGAAGATTGCGTGGCAGCGTGACACTGCGCACGTAGATAGATAGATAGATAGATAGGGAGATAGAAGCCTTTCATGCGCGCCCGCGTGCCATAGCACTGCGCGCATACCATAGCGCTACACACATGAAACAATCGCACCCGTGCTGTTACAGCATTGCGCTCGATAAGCGCAGCACCAAGATAAGCACACCTGTTTACGCACGCGTGTCGTAGCGCTGCACACTTGGTGCCACTGTAATAAGTGCGCCCGTTTGTGCGGGAGCACGGCAAACACGCATGGTGGCACTGTGATAAGTAAACCCATTCACGCGCGCGTGTCGGAGCACTGCATCCGTGGTGGAACCGTGATAAGTGCCACATTGTCATAGCACGGCGCACATGGTGGCACCATGGCAAGTGCCCCTGTTCACGCGGCGTGTCATAGCTGCGCACGTAGTAGCTCATGGTTCACAGACCGGCTCACATGCACATGTCATAGCCCGGCACCACGATAAGCACACCCGTGCCAGCTTACGTGCTGTAGCGCTACAGACACGGGGGTTTTATGACGAGCCCGTTCGTCGTGTGCGCATGTCATAGCGCTGCACACAGGGTGGAGATGTGATAAGCACACTCGTTCACGAGGACATGTCGTAGCACAGTTCTCGTGGATCATCGTGGGTAGCTTGACACCACACCTGTTTGCGTGCACACGCCGTACCAATGCGCGATTCGTGACCTCGCCCGTTCATGCGCAGTTCACACGCGCTAGCACTTGCCGGCACTATGTCGGTGCAGAGTTCGGGGCAGGCGCGGCGCTTTTTGCAAGGTCAGGTACAGATATCGTGGCAGCGCGGCAATTTCGCAAGGCAAGTGCAGATTGCGCGGAAGGCGCAGCAGTTTCGCACGGTTCATAGATAGATTGATAGATAGATAGGTAGATAGATAAATAGACAGAAGACTTTCACGCACGCATGCCATAGCAAGGAACTGCGCACATGCTGCAAGAGTCACGAGCGAGCCCGTTCACAAGCAAATGTCATATGCTGCGCACGCATGGTGGCAGCATGATAAACACACCTGTTGAGCACGCCCACTGTACACAGATGTGAGCACCAAAATCAGCACACCTGTGGGCGCGCACATGCTATAGGACTGTGGCACCCTGACAAGCGCACCCTGAAACGCGCGCGCATGTCATAGCGCTGCACAGGCATGCATTTTGGCACCATGACAAGTACACATATTCATGCACACGCGTCATAGCTTAGTTACGTGATGCCCAACAGCGAAAAAAAGTGTGGTCCTTTGGCCTGGTCCAATGCTGAAGAAAGACTACCTTGAGGCCCAACAGATACAGAAAGAAGTGCTCAATTGCATTTTCGGAGTTCGAGCGCCTTTTTCTGCCCGATTGGAAACGAACAGTTTTGAAGACGGCTTGGCCCGAAATGCACACCGCGTTTCGAGCGCAATTCGGCGCCCGAAGTCGCAATTTCGGGCAATTCGGGCGCAAACCAAGCGCAATTTCAACAACTGCCCAAATTCTGGTCGCTACACTAACGCCAAGTCGCTGGCTCCCAGAAACGTTTCGTTTTTTTGTGCCAAACACATTCGAGCACAAATTTCTGTATCAATTCAGGCTCCAGGTAATGTTGTGGTGCCCACCGAGCGTCATTCGACCGCAATGAAGGGTTGATTTTTGCCTGGCGGGCACTTAATTGTAGCAGCAAGGCACATCAAACAAGGCCGCCAGGCTGCCAGGTGTCTGTTTCCAAGCGCTGCGCTCTTCACACTCTTCGAGGTATTTTGAGGGTTATTAGTATTAGTATTCGGGGCCCTTTTAAAGGGTATCTGTTTAAACGGTGGCATTTTGTTTGGACGCCACACCACGCGCATCGTTCAAGCGGGCGGGAACAGAAACCCAGAGCCCCCAAGGAACCACAAAGGATCCCCAAAGGAAGCCTAAAGGAAACCTGGGAAGTTTTCCCGTGCTTGCTTGCCATGCGTTCCAAAAGAGAAACCACCACCTTTGCTGCCTAGCGGGGACTTCCAACTGAGGTCTCCACAAGGCGCACATGAGGGCGGCGCCTCGGTCTGCGACTGCTTCATGAGACTGGGGCAATTAGAGTAGGCGGTTGTCTCAAAAAAGCAATGGTTTCCTATTTCAAATGGTTTGGAGCCCCTGGAAATGGCCGGCGCATCCTGTTCGTTTCCGAGGTATTCAAAGTGGTCCAAAAAGACGAGGCCCATTTCTTTTCCCTGAAGGTAGTTTTCACTAAGGAATCCAATTCTTGGGGGATTCGGACGGGCGTTTTCTGGCTCACCTAAAGTTTGCCCCAGTGTCCGGATTGGCCAAAGTGAATTTCGTTTTGGAGTGATGTTTCCGGCAAAGGACGTGCAAGTCTGTACTCCGGAAATGCAGGGGTTCCGGCGATTGCCTTGTCCTGCTAACTGCGGCAGCGCTTTGTTTGGGATCCCCCACATCCCACGGGGCTCAAAGTTTTACCGTGTCCCGTGTTCCCACCCCCCCGCCCGCCGTGGTGTTCCCCCTCCCGAAACCCCGCCGCCCCTAAGCCACTACGTAACCCGCACCCCGGGACGCCGCAACCCGAGCAATCCAAACCTCAACCAACCCCGAACCAACCTTACGTGGGAGAGTGAACCATTTTTTCTCATCCTGTCGTCCTCCCAATCCCTATCTGGGATGGAGAGATGGAAGACGAACGAGCCCCATGATGCTTGAACCAACCGAAAGGGGATGAACAAAAACATCTACCCACTCACCCATGGTGATATATGTCATACAAGTTGCCCACCCCTCGTAGTCCTGCGGTTGGTTTGCAGGGTTGGTTTAGGGTTCTGCAAAATGAGCTTGGGGTGAGATCTCTTTCCTATTTCTTCCGCAATTCCCGCTCATATAGACTCAGAAATAGAGGTGGCGATTGGAGAGAAAGAGATGTCCCTGCCTTCTCGTTTACATACATGGGATAGGGGATCCGCGCACCTATGGCGGTGCCGCAGTTCTGGCGATTCCTCCCGCCTGGCACATGCTGGCTTGAGCACCAGTTTCGTCGGAAACACAGTTTGGGGCTTGTTGTTGGCCAATCCACTCAGAAACTGAGATAGGCGTTTGCAGTGTGAACCAGAACAAAAACATGGCATGATTGGTCAGGGTTGCAATGGAGATCCAGAGCCCTTCCGCTAGCGGCCAACTGAGCTTAATGGTCGCTAGCGGGGAACCGGGCCTCGAGAAAGGAGAGGGCGTGCCCGCGATCTGAGCCCTGGAACCGTTTGCAGAGAATGGTTTTGTTGGCCCCGTGCATTCAATGTTTGGAGATTAATGAAGCCCACCCCCCAAAAGAAGAAGAAAGCTCGAACAGAATACAATCAAAAATAATGGGACCCCAATGGAGGAAGCACTAAGCCACTTTAGCGGAAAGAGGTCCCCCCGAAATAGTTCTTAACTACTTGCTAATATTGGTTCAGTATTGGTATTGTATTGCTTTGTGTGCCTTGGTACTTACCTGGATTGTGTAACACTTGCTTAGGGTTGGTTATTATTCTATTGTATTGGTGCGTGTTGTTTTGGTATCAGTGTAGTAGTGTTGTGTAAATATTTTTGTCAGTGTAGTATCGGTCCTCTTCAGTCCTCGTCAACCATATCTGCTTAGTATTGTTTAGATTTGCTTTAGTGCTGGCTTGTTGCGGGTTAGTAGTGTTGGTTTAATATTGGCTTGAGGTTGATTAGTATTGGTTTAGTATTGTTTGTCTTTGAACATTCCTTTCCTTGCTTGAGTACCCTGTTTCAAATCTTGAGTATCAGGGCCTCGGCTCCACGCAAAATTGGTGGCCGGGCTATTGACAAATAAATTGGATTTCGGAGGCTCAGCTTGCTTCTGGGCTTTTTGATTTGGAAGTAGTAGAAGACAGACAATCATGAATCAGCTTGGGTTGGAGAAAACAGGGTCATGCTTCCTGGCGGCTTCTGGGCAGAGTTGGTGAAGATTGTTTTGGATTTTCTTCTTTCCTAGAAGCAAAACACATTTCGTATTGAGTACCTTTCTCGTGAAAAAGACTCTCCAACTTTGCGCTATTAAGTTCAGGTTGGTGATTGTCTGATTTGTGTCGGCGCATTGTGTGGATCCCCAAACTGGTTTGGTGTCCTTTTTGCCAGCCGTTCTTGCCAAAGGCAGGATGCCGAAGGAGACAGTTTGATTCGAAGTGAGGAGCGCCTTGACAGCGCCCCAATCTCTGGACTGCTGAGATGCCTAAGTCACGCAAGTGATACACCCCGGGTGCCACGGTGCCACCAGAAAACGAAGGCTCTTAGTTTGATCACGCAGCCGTGGATCGCAGTTGCCTCGAATGAGAAGCTAACCCTTCGCCATGGTCCTTTTAGTGTTTGAAGTGGCTCCCTTGGTGGCGCGGGCTGTGCGTGTTGACAAAAGGCCGTTCAGAGGCTGCAGATGCTCGTATGCAATTGCGTTGCCTCCAAATAGTACGTTTAAACAAAGTTTACATGCTGCGGATGGTGAGCGGGCCAACTTCTGACGAGTGGGTGTGGCATTTCCTGTTTGGAGCCGAGCCTCCAACATGGTTGGTACACATAAAGTGATGTGCGCCATTCTCTTTGTTGACTAAAGGACCCTTGTCTCGTGCCAGTAGACATTGCAAACTAATTGGACTTGCTGTCGAGACCTTCCACAGATGGCTAAGCTGGTAAGATTCCCCCTACAAGGTTGACTCCTGGAACTGCATGTTGCATTTCTGGATGTGCTTGTTGGGGCTTGAACAATTGGGCACCTTCCCAAGCCATATATTCCCAAAGGTGCAACTTTCCCTTGGATGTCGGTTGAAATTCTGACAGCAATGGAATCCAGTTTGACCCGGACCAACATACCTTTCACCAGATCACGCCCCCGTCACGGTTTGTGAGGGGCTTGCCTTGAAGAGGTCCTAACTTCCTTTTGGTGGGTTTAAAACAATGCAGCGAGGCTGGGGAAATCGATTTCTCATAGCCGGGCAAGTCACAAATTGCCGACAACAAGCAACGACGAACATTCAGCCAAATGGGGACTCATGGATTTTCCCGCACATCAAATGAGGTCATTTCGATATGTCCCGCACACGAGATCCAAGCCTCAGGCCTGCCATCTCTCGTTGTGTGGTGTTTGAAATATGGGTGTGTTTGTGGCTTTCCTTCCCTTACAAAAAGACCTGCCGATATGTTGGAGGTGTTTTCAATCGGTTTGGAGCTCCAGGAAGGTCCGGGAAGAAGTGTAGGTTGGTTCTTTTCAGGTCAAAATGAAACGTTGTCCCCCAAATTTGCCTAAAGGGAATTGGGGCCAGGGTTGCTGGGTTGCTGCATAATCGTCAAGTCGAGGTCTCAGACATGGCTGGCACTGGCCTGATCAGACCCTTCGGTGGACATCATCTGCATGGGAGTTATTTATGTCTCTGGTCCCCATCAAGATTCATTGCAATCAAAGCATTTTACAAGGCAAAGTGGCCTGCGGGGACATGGTCTCGAAACGAGTACTTCCGATATCTTCCGATCAATCTCAAAACCATGGGGAATGAACAAATTGCCAAAAGAGTAGTTGGCCCGATCCTGGTCCAAACACTCTGTCAGCCTGGCATAGTCAGCCGGCGGACATGTATATTTGTGAGCAATGGTCAGTATTTGCTGCTCAGGGTTTGTGGATGACGCGGGGCCAAGGTCAACGGCATGACCGAAGTAGCCTTGACCATGACTTGCTTGCTGTAAAGGGAAATGGCATCGGGCATGCTCCGACAAGAACTCCGAAGATGGGTTTGGAAACTTGACGTGGGTGTCTTGTTGATAGGCCCAACTTCTGAGCCAAGGGGCAGAAATGATCCCCCAACTTTACCATGTCCTTTGGAAAATGCTTCCCTTGCCTTTATGGCATGTGTTTTTTTGCAAAGGCCATTTGTGTGACCCGTTCTGACAAGATCACATGTGGATGCATTGCTGAGATTGATGTATCACAATTAGGCTGCAAGGATTCCCCTATGGCTCTGAATCAGAAAATCAGTAGATGCGGCAGGCGTGAGGCGATGGAATTCCACTGTGAGCAATCACCTATAGGGCTGCTAAGGGGTTTTTGCAACTCGTCTCGGGTGTCGAATGGTATTTTAGAACCTACTGTAAAAAGGGGGTGCCTTTCAGCATCTTTCAGCCCAAAGAGAGACGGACAGTGCATTCCTTGGGTTGCCCCTTCAAGCTGTACATGTCCTTTTGGTTTCTTCTTGGCTTCCGTTTGTTTTCTTTGATCCTTGTGCTTGGTGGTCCTCTTGGTGTCCCTTAGTTTGTTTTTTCACTATAGCATCGTGTTTTGCTTTTCTCACGTAGCCAGAGATCTGACCATTGCTGCTTGCTGTGCTGCCTGGCTGGAGCTGAATGGGTGTGAAGCTGAGCTACATCAGTTTGAAGAGTTGTGCGTATATAATATAGGGTAAGTCCCCCAGTACTGCCCATTTACCCTTTTTTGGGGAGGGTTCCCCTACTAAAATAGACTACAGAAAAAGGGGTACCCTTAGTCTAACCTCTCTACTGGAGGACCTAGTAGGGGTAAACACGCAATGCCACACATGTTTACATGACGGAAAGTGTTAAGCATGATAGGCATCAGACCTATGTTTGGCCGAGCCTGAGATGAGGGGGCATCTCCATCGAGCATGGTCTGAGGAATAGTGTTTCGGCGTCGAGGGGATTTTTGAAACAACCCGGACAGGGGTACAATCAAAAGGAGCAAATTTGTACTTGTTTGCCAGGGTAGCAACCCCTTCTTCTTAAGGTGAGCTAATTGCTAATGCGAACACGCCACTGTGCATCACTTTACATCAAGCGAACAAGAGGCTATCTCCAGTTGCACTGACTGGAGCTTCATTGATTGAGGATGCAGACCGGGCCTCACATCAAGCTACAATGCAGCCGTCGACATAGGTTCGACACCAGAGTTAATTGCACACATGGCGACTGATTAATCAGCTCCACGTATCGACAAGTTTCAGATTTAAAGGCAGGCCATGTAAAGAACAAAACACACAAGCAAAGTACGTGTCCAGTGATATAGATTGGGAAACGCTT